GACCACCACAGCTCCCCTTCTCTGTTCTGTGCTGCTTGCAGGGATCCCAGCAAGATTGCTTCTGGTATTCCGAGGCCCGGCTGTGACCTTTCTTCATTGCCCCACTGCAGTGCCTGGAGCTGCCCCTCCCTGAGCCAGAAGGCAGTTTTCTTCCACAACCTCTGCCACCTACAGCCAGGGCAAAGGTTGCTGCTGTCTCAAACAACTCTGCCCATTTGATTCTGCTGCCTGCCCTTGCCTGAAACTTTATCCCACAATCCCTTTTACACTGCCATTCATTCATCCAAAATATTTATTGGCTGCCTTGCAGGACAGGTACCTTCTTTCTCTTCCTTGAAATCACACCTCCAAAACCCCTAAGAACATAAAAAAGCCAGACCAGATCAGACAAAGGGTGCATCTTATCCGGTGCAGGAAACCCACTGCCTGCATGAGAAGGGCATGAATGCACCAGCACCCTCCCACCTGCAGCTCCAACAACTGGTGCACACAGACATATGGGGGTTAGAGTATATCCATTTATTTATATCCCAACTCAAGGCAGCTTACGTAATTCTCCTCCTCCTTTCAATCTTATCCTTACAGCAATCCTATGCAGGCAGGGCTGAGAGTCTGTGACTGGTGCAAAGTCACCCAGTGAGCTCCACGGCTCAGTTAGGCCTAGAACCCAGATCTTCGAAGTCCCAGCCATGTGCTCTGAAGCACTACGCCTGTGTGTTCCTTTCATCTGTCCTGAACCTCCCAGCAATCAATTCATGAGATGCCCTGAGGTTCTTCCATTGTCTCCATATCCACTTTTTCCATACTGTATATAATATATAGCCAGTATATACAAGGTATCCTCAAGCTATCCACAACAATCCCAAGATCTCTTCCTTGCTCAGTAACTGCTTAGCAAAAATGTATCATTGGAAGTTATTGGGCCAATATTGATCACTTCACCCTCACTTCCACTGAATTGCATTTGCCATTTTGATGCTCGTTTGCAACTGCTTCTTGCCTTAACAATGCTAAATAATTTGGTTTCTTCATCAAACCAAGTTCTAATTCCAGATCATTTATGAACAAGTTAACCCACTATTCCCACAAAAGCTTTGGCTCAAACCCTTTTGTCCTCATTCCCAGGTATGAAGCCCACGCTCAATCCCTTTGTTGAATTCTCCATTGCTGAAACAGCACTGAAATCTTAGAGGAAGAGACTGGTCTATAACATGCTCTGTGTACTGCAGATGTCTGTAAGCTAATATAGTACTTTTGTGAAGATGTGCTAATTTTGTACATTGCATAAGCTTGATCTACTTGCTAAGGCATGGCAAATGCTGTGTGAAAACAAGCAAAAGTTCAAACTTCAACAACCTCATATAAAATCAACAATATGTAGGATACTCAATCATTAGTGAGGTACCTCCAGCACCCCAGGAATAATACCAAGCTGGGCGGCGGGAGGGAACCAAGCAGGCCTGTTTATTGACCAGCGTAAGAATAGTTGCAAGGCGCTTGCTTCCTACTCCCTGCCAGAAAAAACACTTGGCTCCAGCTGACAGTTGCCCTGGGACTGTAGAAGGAAAGGAAGAAAATGTTCTTTCCCCATCCATTGGTCAAAAGAACAAGAGCCACCAATTGCTATTCAGGCAAGAGCACGAGCGAGGAAAGATCAGTCTGGCCTGAAGTGCGTTCAATACCCACCTTGTTCTGCACTGAAAACCTGATCTCCTCCTCCCATTCTCTCTCCTTCCCTTGTGAGTTTTGTTGTTTTAGTTTGTAAGCCCGATGACAGGGCCTGTCTTTCTTTTACTGATGTGAGCTGCTTTGGAAGACAGTAACTATCTCAACAGAGGGGAAATGCAATAAACAAACATACATGAGAACTTGCTTTGAGGACTTGAAACCTGCTGAATGCAAAAAATAAGTTTCAGGATGTGGAGTCTGGAGCAAAACATTCAGATTCCAAAATGTAATATGCGATTTTCTGTCGTACATTTTTTGTTGCAAATTCTGTACTGCAGCAAGCAAATCTGTGTTTTCAGACAGAAACCTCTGGGCCTAGTTTCCAGATAGGGTTCACCGCTAATTGGAAGAATGACAATTTTGCCCTTGAAATGTACTTCCACCCACTGAGAGGTACAAATAGGTATGGTGATATTTTGTTTTGAGCTCCTCTTTGTTAGTTGAAGAGGAGTCAAGCTTTTGAACAACTGCTCCAAATATACTGTAGATTGACTCATTTGAGACAAATAATATCATGCCCATTTGTATCATCCCCACAGTTTTTAGTTTCCATCACATCATACTGCCAATTATGCCATGCTGCCATAATTGGAATTTAAACTGTACACTTTCCATCATTCCCTTATTCCCCAGACATTTATATTTGTTCTTTTGAAATTGCCTGATGCTGCAGAGAAAGATTACAGAGACCACTGCAGTGCTCACCAAACAGTGAATGATGTTCTCATTAATATTGAGCTGGAAAAAATACAGAACCGGGCAATACAAACTAACCAGGCGTGGAAAGGGGACATTGTAAGAAATTATTCTCTTGGAATGCTGGAATTCAGAGTCACCTAATGAAATTGGTCAGCCTGGCAAGCTTAAGACAAATGAATTCATCTGATTTCCACAAAATGTAAGGGTAACCACAAACCACAGATAGTTTCAAAATGGGGGAAATTTGTGGAGGGTATATCAGCCAATGGCTAACAAACAGGTTATGGTCTGTGTTGACAAAAGGCCCACCTTGGATTACTGGATACTAGACAAACCACAGTGGATGGTGGCATCCAATGTAACCTGTTTGGGCATTTCCCAAAAGCCAAGATTTTGTACTTAGCAGCTTTCACACTTCATCACTGATGGCTCCAGGCAATGGTACAGTCAGGACATTTCAGACTCTGGACTTAATGGTATTACATGGGAATCCTCTTTAGTGAAGTAAGACCACCCTGCTTCATATCAGGACCCCCCTGCTCATTCTGCTACGTAGGTCCCTGGACTTCCTCCCTGGGTCTGATGGCACTGCTGATTTGGGATGATTAAGAGATGTTGGACTGTGTACACTTTCTCTGGTGTGACCCAGCAAGGCAATTCTTGTGTACCTCTAAAACATTTTCAAAACCAAGTGCTTGGTTTTTAGGGCCTATGTAATAAGCATCATTAGCTCAATCAAATCTGCACAAAATGAACTTGCTAATTCTGATGACCTCCTGGTGCTTTCAAAGACCGTGTGTCACTCAAATACCCTCAGCATCTCTCCCTGGTAGGAATGGTCCAACCATGAAGGCAGATTAGGAAACCGCCTGTGTTGCAAATGTTCCCAGTGCCTGCTGCAGCTACCACCCTTCCCCACCCTGGTGCCTTTCTAACATGCTGGGCTGCAATCACCCCAGTCCAGTAGGGCCACTGGTCTGCTGACTGGAGATGGCTGGAGATGTCATCCAGCATGACTGGAGGGTCAGTTGCGGATGGCTACACCATGCTAACATCTTGGAGAAACGGGAGACATTGACTGAGATGCTGAAGGAGATACAGAGCAGCTGGTGTGACCTCTGTCAAATCCCTTGCATTCCAGCAAATACATCTGAGAGCTTTCTGATTGGAAAGCTAATGGTTGCCCAAGGTATTAAGATACGTTTGCAGAGACAAGTAAGTAAGAAGCAAGCAATTACACATTAAAATAATAGCACCTGTCAACTCTTGATCACACAGAACCACTGTGATGTCGTGCTTAGAGTGCTGGACTCTGGAGATGGGAGTTCTTGTTCCCACTCAGCCGTGAGGCTCAATGGGTGACTCTGGGCCAGTCACTGCCTCTTGGCCTCACCGACCCTGCAGAGTCAGTGTGAGGATAAAATGGAGAGGAGGAAAAAGGGTGGGATATAAATGCAGTAGTAGTAATTTTAGCTCTGCTTCTCACTGAGATGGGGAATCTGTCTGAAAGTGGGGGCCCTGGGGAATGAATAAGCGTGGAGGAAGCTGGATCAACCCAAAGCCCTGCCTAAGCTTTCTACACCGCCAGCCCAAAGTATATGAGGGAGCCCACCGCAGGGCTACAGCCAACCGGGACCTTCCCGTTCATAGTCCTCGCAACTGCTACGCCCGTGCCTCTCATCCTGGAGGCAATGTAGAGACACAAATGTAGAGGAGCTGCAAGCAAAAGCTGAAAGCTCCTTTTACAGAGGCGGGGAAAGAGGGGGGGGGGGGGGGAGAGCTCTGTCTTTGCTGCCTCCCTGACTGCACAGGACAAGGTCCCTGCCTCCTCTCCTCATCCATCTGCCGGCTTGGAGCATTCAGCCAGGCAAGGCTCCTCCGGCTACCCGACGTGGTCCAATCCACCCCAGCCGCAGCAAGATCTAATCGCCCCGTCGCTCAGCTGCTGCGGCTGCTCAAAGCGGGGCAGCTCCAGGCCAAAGGGAAGGAAGGAAGGAAGGAAGCAAAAGCTTAATTCAGGAAGGAAAAACAAACGAGCAACTCGGAAGGGCCCTCACCTGACGTTTTTATAAAAGCTCCCTTCACCGTGCCGTGATTTCATTTTGCCCCCTGTCCTGCAGAAATCGCCTGCTATTTATCCTTCCTTCTAAGCTCCAAATGTTGGCAGGGAGATACACCCGATCACATCCGCTCAAGTAATCCCTATGATGGGGGGTGGAGAGGGAAGGGAGATCTCCCATGGATTTCCACGCGGACCCGAACTTCTTGTCTCTGACGTGCAGATATTAGTTGGATCCCTGTCCGCTGCTTGCTTCCTATCCACAGCTCTCTTGGAAAGGGAAGCCCTGCTCGCCACGGTCCAGTGGCTTTTTGGCGCACCATTTCCCTGCAAGGAAACCGCAGCGTCGGCAAAACACACACACACCATACCGGCCAGCAGTGAGACATTTCCACCATCGAAAGGCCTCCCGGGGTGCCCTTCCTATCTGAAACTGGAAAAGCTTTGGGGAGCGGGGTGATATCACGGTCGCCTGCATGCATACCCGGGAAGGGGGTGCTTCCCATCTTTTTACCTTGGGGTCTTTCTCGTAGTAGTACTGCTGCGTCCGGATCCATCGCCCCACCAAGTGATCGCGGACGGTGTGCGCCAAGGCGAAATAATAGTCCCGCGGGGTGGCCACGTTCCGGTCTTTCACCAGCGTGAAATGCAGATGCCGGTTGAAGCTCTTGCGGATCTCGGCCACGTCGCCCAGCCCGGCGATGCCGCGCACGCTGATCTGCTTCCTTTTCTCGCTGTCGCTCAGGGGAACGGCCATCCCGGCGCTTGGCTCGGCGGCGGCGCTGGCAGAGAGGAAGACGTCCGCCTGCGCTGGCGCGGATTGCCTGCGCTTCGCCGAGGGAGCCGCTTCGGCGTCCCGGGGAACGGCGCGCGGGCGGGCGGCTGGGGAGGGCGACCCTTTCCCCTCGCGCGGCGGCCGCTACCTGGAGAGGCTCGCAGGCTGGCCGGATGCGGGGCTCATCCGAAGGGAGTGGGTGGGATGCGAGCAAAGCGGCCAGGACAGCCGGCCCAGCCCCGTCGCCGATCCTCCCCCGCCTCCTCCTCCGGCCGTGACCGTTGCAAAGCCTGGCTGGGGCTTGCTGCGGCAGCGCCTGCGCGGTGCAAAGGAGCCCGAGCAGCGGCGTTCAAAACAAGACCCGGTGGCTGCTCGCCGCCGCCTTCCCTCGCCCGCGCGGCCTTCCTTCTTTCTGCCCTGGAGAAAGGAAAAACAGCTGCCCCAGTTCTCCCGAGCGTGTTGCTTTGCACCTCATGCCAGGATGGTTTTCTTGAGGCGGGGCGGGGACGCCGCGGGAGAGATTGGCGTGGGAGGGAGGCGGCAAGACGGATGAGCCACGAGTTCATCGCACTTCAGCATCCACAGGCACGCATGGAAGGCCTGGTGTCGTGGTCAGCCTGGAAGGGCAATCCTCCTCCTCCCATTGCATTTTTATCCTGCCTTTTTTTCTTCTGGCAGGGAAGCCCAAGTGGCTTACACGGGCCGTCTCTTTTTATGTTAGCCTAACAACAACCTTGTGAGGGAGGTTAGGTTAAGAGTCAGTGATGGCTCAAAGTCACCCAGCAAGCTTCATGGCTGAGTGGAGACTAGAAGCAGGCTTTCTTCAACAATCATATACACGAACCCCTATGCACTGGCATTCTCCATAGGCAGTGTCCCCAGGAATAGCCCCAAAATGCATGCACGTAAATATATGTATATTTGAGTGCATGTGATATACCATGCATAGCATAGCTCACAGCATAAGGGTTCTGCTGCTGCGAGTATTTCAAGGTGGCTGGAAAAAAATTGCTTACCACTTCCCTATCCCTATCTTAAAACTAAGCTTTGAGAGAAGCCCCAAGCAGTAGTGCAGCTGGTGGTTAGGACCATATGACAACATCATTCTGCATTTCCAAAAATCCTAGGCTAGCCAGGCATCCCCCTTTAGAGAGGATGACTTAAAGGGCTTCCAGAGGACTGCCTCCTGTTCGCAGGGCTTTCCAGTCCAATTTAAAGATCAAGAACTCTCAGCAGAAAGAGCTGGGCCTAAGTTGCCCATCAACAGCACCTGGGCAGCAGCTGAGCAAGGCACACAGGCCACTGGGCCATGATTTTCCATGCTTTGGTGGCATGTGGCACACTTGTCTTTGCATCCTTTTAATTTTTTTCTAATAATAATATAACAAGAACACAATAATTAAGTGATTAAATGAAAGAGTGCACCCACCACCCTGGAGACCAATACTACCATCGTACACATACTATAACAATTAATAATATATAATATACTTCAATTATACCCATATCCTCTCCAGAAATTCATATAATCTTGATTGGGTTTACAGCCTTTGCCTTCTATCAGTACTGCTTTTACAAAATGTTCCCAAATTTCATTATATTTATTTGCTTTCATTAACCCTTTTAAAATTTTTATTTCTGTCATCAGTTTATCATTAATTACCATATTCCATATTTCATTATACCATTCATGCCTTTGCAAAACCCAATTCTGTTTCCAATATTTAACTATCACTAGCCTAATTGCCATTATCTTTGCATCCTTTGATTAAAAAAAAGTGCTTCGGCTCCCCACCTTCTCCAGTTAGCCATTCCAGCTGAGGAACAGTAACAGAGAGAGGGCCTTTCTCTTGTCTCAACAGGCTTAGCATCATGTCTTTAATATTTGCATTGGTACATATAACTTGGCATGTCAATGTAAATTGCTGTCTTGCCTTGCCCTGTTTGGTGATTTGCCAGTGCCCAACCCAGTCCTGCTCTGCTCTGCCCTGCTCTGCCAAGCTTGGCTTAGCTATTTACAGAATCGGTGAAGAGATTAAAGGTTGGTTTTGCATCCCTTGCTGGCTGGGGCATGTTGGAGGTGCAGGCTGTTTTTGTCTAAACATGGGTGGCACCTTTGATCTCATCCCTCTACCAGACGAAGCCCTTTTTAGTCCCTCTGTCTTTTAAAATTGGACTTTTTGTGCACACTTCATAAGTGAACAAAGAATTCACAATATGCCTCTCAAAAGCAATTGCAGGGGGTACGTAAGCAGGAAGTTCAGTTTCCTTTGCGTATCTGGTAAACCACAGGAGGCTGGACTAGAGAGACCTCTCATCTGACCTAGTAGGGCTGTTCTTTTGCTCGTATGTTTAACAAACTAAATGTATGAGCCACCTCCAAGAATCAGAATGGCCCACCAGCATTTCACAGGTTGAAAATAGGATAAGCTAAGTGCCCCTAATACCTGTTTTCACACCAATGATAACTACTTGTAGATTTGGTCACAGTATTTTAAAAAAGCAAAAAAAGAAAAAGATCCTATTAGACAGAGTGGTCCTATTATATTTTGCCACACTTGCCTCCATGGGTGTGTATGAAACACCTGGCTGGTGCCTTAGTATTCATTGCCATGCATTTTGCATATGCATGCACATTAATTAAGATGCGTTTCTCCCCCGTTCCTGCACCTTGGAGAAGGGGCTGAGACAGCAAGGGCAGCGGAGTCACCAGGGCAGGACATTAGAGCAAACCTCTAGGCACCCATTTGGCAATCTGAGCAGGAGGGGGCCCAGATGCAACAGGGCCGGCTGACTACATTTTGAAGCACTGCATGTTGCTATCTAAACAGCTTCTCCCTCTCACCATCATTGTGAGGCCATCACATCCAGAGTCTGATATTAGCTCACGGCCCCACAGTAGCATGGAATGTCTGGTTCATGGCTCCCTTTGTAGTCAAGCTGTCAAGTTGCATGTCTTGTTGATTACCTTTGGTATGCACACTGCAAGCAAGCAGGTGTTGCTTGAGGCTACAGGCAGTATCCTTCTGCAACTCAAAGAGACAAAAGTTCTGGACAAGCTTTGCACAACCAGTACCTGGTAAGCTTCAGTTAGTTCACTGGGTTAGAACACCATACAAGAGAGGCGTTGTGGAATGGACCCTTCTCAAACGGAGAAGCCTACCAGATGCCTTTCTCAAGGTCATGACCATGACCGTGGCTGCAAGGCTCTTCAAGTGTCTTGTGCCCCTGCTGCCTTTCCCTTTTCATCGGACGCACGCATCTTGACTCTCATATTACCACTTCCTCTTCATGAGAAATCTGTGCTCTCACCGGTTCAGTGAGAGCAGCTTGATTGGGTTTCCTCCTTCCTGGCCAGCTTAGGAACATAGGCCATGCTCCATCAGACCAAAGGTCCATCCAGTCCAGTCCTCCATGCACACAGTGGTGGACCAGCTGCCCACAGGATCCCTCAAGCCAGAGGGGTGAAGACCTCAGCTTGTCCGAGCTCCTCGGCAGCTGGAGTACGAAGGCATGCCCACTCCGGTGAAGGAGGCAGCACAACTAGCAAGGGCATTGGCCACTGAGAGCCTCCTCCCTCATGTATCTGCCCACAAACCTCGGCAGATTAATCAGGAAGAGGGAGCTGAGGGAGATGGAGGACAACCTAGCAATGAAAGGGGGTTTGCTTGCAGTATTTGCTGGGCGTGGGGACAGAAAATGGCAGAACCACCCAGGGTGCAAAGCAGGGAGGGGGGTTGTATGATTGGTGTTACCTTACCACGTTTTTTCCGACAACCACGAACTCTGACTGGTTCTTTCATTTTCTGCCCCTGCCCTGCACCCCTGCTCTCACCATGCAGTCCAGCAACCACTGTAGCAGCCTTATTACTAGGCTGTCCTCTGTCTACTGCAGCTTCCCCATCCGGATTGGTCTGCTAAGGTGTTAAGGCAGGGTCCCTCTCTTCCTTCTCCTGATTGTACCTCCATCCCTTTAATGTCTCCTAGCCAATCCAGCCCCCAAAGTTTGCTTTGGCTTTTTTACATTAAAAAGTATTTTTTGCTGTATTTTCCCCCTTCTTCCCATATGCACGGAGTCATTTTCTCCCTGAAAGTAAATGGGTGAGAGATACAGCACTCAGCCAACAGGAACAAATCAAGTAATGTCATGTGCTGCTAGGAAGTTGTGGATAGCAGAGGTCAGATGCCTGGAATGGCCCCCTTTGTTGCTGTTCTTTCAATGGGTCTCTATGGTGTTTTTAATCAGAAACAGAAAAATGGAGCTCACACATCTGAACTTCACAAAATGCAATTGTGGTAAGTGGAACCAATCGTTTCTTGTCATGGTTTCCAGTAATGGTGATATACCACAGCTGGGACAAGGCAACATGACAAGTGCTCAACAGAAATAAAAACCATGATTGCTTGTCGTGATGTGTGAACCCAGCCTCTGCTCTGCTGTTCTTCTTGGCCACCTGCTCCCATGCCCTTCACACTTCAACCACACCTTCCAGCTCCTACTCCCGGGCTGACTCAGAAACGGCTCCCCTGTCTTCTTGAGGTGAGTCTACAGAAGTGTTCTGGGCAGTCTTTACAAGCTGACCATAGGGTGCATCCTATAAAATAAAACAAACATGTAAACCGCATCCCCTAAAGCTCCCTATAATGAGGGTGGAGAGCCTCGGTTGTGAGGGTCAAGCCCATCCTGCCTGGGAACCCCATGCTCTGGCCTTCCCCAGCAGGCCATGCCCCTTTCCCCTGGCCTGACCTCTTTTTCTCAACCACCAAGTGTTTGGTGGTTTCCTGGCTTTTCTGCAGTCCTCCCACTCCACTTCTAAATAGCTCAAATGCCTCTCCCAAGGCATAGTGACAGGGAATAAGAGTCAAATATGTCCACTCCTTTTGCTGTCCCACCATAAGAACACATTGCCCTCTTCCTGGAAGAGGGTTGAAAGAGCATCAATGCTTGTGTGTTCCAAAAGGCACAGTGATTAACTAGGGATATCATCCTCCCAGATAAAAAAAAGACCAAT